TTCTATCTCTGTTATAAATTTCACCCCGATCCGACATCGGCGTCCCCGGTTTTCAAGAGGGTCAAAAAAATGGGGGGGGGGTACCCTTAAATAATGTGTACAACTCAAAAATAGTATGAGATATGTTCATGTGAATAATTCTAAGTAACGGTTGATATAACTGTTGCCGATCCGGAAAATAAGTTTTCACAAATATCTGGATTCTAACGAAAATTTTCTTCTAATAGTTAATTGAAGTAAGAGTTGATAATAAAAACCATAATTTACAGACTATCAGAGATCTATCGTACAATTACAGTGAGTTGTTTTCATTTAAAATTTTTATACATCGAAAAAAATGACCAATTGTCGTTTAATTTAATTGTGCACGTAGCATATCAAACATACTTTTTTCCTTCCATTCTCATCCATTTCCTTTCCATTGCGAGTATCAAATTAGTGTCGCTAAGAGGTGTTCTATCGGTAGAGAGTTTTTCGTAACTTTTATGCAGAAAAAAACGAAAAACAGATTTATTATTTAATATGAAATTTACCTATTTCTATTGCTTGTTTATAGTCTGTCTAATATTTAATATCAAAGGTGATGTACATGAATGTACAAAAAATGACAATAATGAAACATTGTGTGATGATGATGACGAAAGAACAGAGAATTCTTCTCGTAATAAGCGTATGATATTTAGAGATAAATCTAAATTAGTGAAACCAAATCAAAAATCATCTGATCAAATTAATTCACAAACCGTACAAGCTTATCTTGTTCAAGAAGGTGTTAGTTCAATATTACAAAATTTATTATTAGCACATGTTATTTATCAAGTCTATCATAAGCCTTCATCAGAAAATCCAACATCATTATCATTTAATGATACAAGAAATTTACTATCGGCCTTATCATTTGGTCAAGGTACAGAAGGATTTGGAAACGTGGCACGGGATGATTTAGAAATATTAATGAAACAACTCGATAATTGGTCACAAAATCATTTAAAAGAGACAACCACCGGTCGTCTATCATTACCTGAATTAGCGTTTTTATTTGCTGTCGATGGGTCCACGGTAGAAGATGACGAAATGAAAGGACTTATTATTGATAAATTGAGATCAAATTTTAACGACAGCATATTAAGTAAACAAGAATTTGTACAAATGTATGAAAAAGATCCGGGCATTGGTGAAATGAATAATGAATTGCAACATTCATTAGAAAACTTATACGATGCATTACAAAGACAATTTCGTGCATGGAATTTCAATATCTTTCGACGACTGGTTTTTCGTTTTAGCGAGATTAAACAATCAGAACAAAAATCAAAATGGTTCAGAAATAACAAAAATAATTAACACAAATTGAACGTATTAGATTGTATTTTTTTCTCGCATCGTAAATTGATACAAGTTTTTTTCACTAGCAAATGAGTAATATCATTAAGATTTATGTAGAATCAAGCGTAGAAAATACGTTATATAGATATTCTGAGAGTTGGATGTAAGAATACTAAAGTTTAACGATATCCTTCCCTCGCGTCTTTCATCTTGTTGGCAAAGATGGAAGCATATGCCCGATCGAGTACGAATTTTTGACACAGATACTTCCGACTCTATTTCAAGTTCTATATCTTTTGCTTTCGAGAAATATTCTTTCATTCTGGAAATATTCGAAAAAAATTCTGAAAATCCTAAGTAAAACGTCAGTTTTTGATTTTAAAAATTTTCTCTAAGTTGAAGTTAAAAACATTTTAAAAAAATTTAGAATTATCGAGGTTTAAAGAAACTAAAACGTGACTCTATCAATCTCTAATGATATAGATCACCACTGCCCGATCGAGTACAATTTGGTTATGCTAAACATTTGAATTATTTGATTTTAAATAAAAAAATAACTTTATTTTTCTTCTTCAATATATCATATTAAAAATACAATACAGTGCTTTATACTAGTAAAATGGATCTGGCATCAAGAACAAGAAATGTGACAACAATTTCGATAAATTGAGTTGTACCACCAGCAACAACAATTTCTACAACCAATCCACAACCTTATGTAACTTATGATAAAGCAGAGTTATCCAATGATCAAATTGTCCTGTGTGTCGTACTAAAAGACGAAATAGAAGCTGTAGTCATCATCATTATAAACGCAAACATCGACATAAAAAACCAAAATCAAATTTTTGATATTGTCTAATACGGCGTGTTGAGTCAGCATCATCAACAATTTTTATTGAAGACGAATTATCAAATGAATGTCGATGAAAAAAGTCAATCGTGAAAAGTAGAATTCAAGAATGTTTAATAGCACCAATTAATCAAGGCGATGGACAAATTGTATCACAAACAACAACGACAAAAACACTTGAAGATCATAGTCCTGGACTACTAGAAGCATGGATAAATAAATATTCAGTTACAGTGTTAAGTAGTGGCGTAGTCAGGATTTTGTTAGTGGGTAGCCATTGCCTCAAATTTTTTCAAGGTGATAGAAATATAAGAAATTTTCGCAGAGTAGTGTGAGTTATAAAACATTTAGTGGATGGGCTGAGCCCACCCCAGCCACTCGGTAGCTACGCCACTAGTGTTAAGATTGCCAATGATTAATGTGAGAAAGATTCTGAGTAATTCACCGTGAACATTTAAAGAATGTCTGAAACTAATATCTATGAATCAGGTAGGCTTTTAACGCAAGCTATCATTTAGGTAGTTAACTTTTTTCTTCTTGCTGTTTTAGAATCGCAGAACAGACGATAAATCATCAATAAAAACGTGTTTTGTAAGGCTAGCGATGGTTGTCGTTATGCGTGTTGATGTTGCGTCATATTCACTATCTGTTATTCTTATTCTTATTCTTATTATCATAGTTCTACTAGCCACGTTCTTGTAATTATAGTTACATACCATGTTTTCATTGTCATTTTCCAGATATGTTTCGATGTAATCTAATTGTTTTAATAAATTCTGTTCTAATTGATTACGAATTTCACTAAATGTGTTAGTACGATCGCAAACAAGAATAAGATCAACAGTTATTGGCAATAGTTACATTCGAATCTTAAACAAAGTAAAAATTTGAACTGTTACAATAAGATTTCAAAATCATCGTCAGTACCAATAAAATAATAGCTTTTTATTCACTTAACACGACGATAAACATACCTGTACATCATTTGATTACTGGAGAGTAACACGATCCATCTTCTGTCGACAATTTCAAAATCTTTCCTTTAATGATTTGCAATAAAAACGTGAGAAGTTTTTGTTTCTATATTTTAGATTTCTTGTTTTCGCTGCTACTTTCCATGGATATAGTTTTTTTTGTGTAATTCTGTATTCTGTTGATTATTATGTCGATAGACATTATGTGTTTTTGCAGGGATTTTTTTTTTTATTTTTGTTTAGTCATTTTTTTCACAAATGTGCACGACGTGATCTAGCGAACTACGCTACGTAGAAAAGTTCTGAAAACGGAAGGATAATCTCCCGACATTGGAGACTGATCAATGCACGTTCTTATTTTAAACACAAGTCCAGATTCGGTGCCATAAGCTACACAAGTAGAAGTAAAATGTTTATTGGACTTAGAAACTGCAGTTGATAAATAAAACGCATTTAACGGAATCAAATTTATTTTGCGTTGTTCTCAAGACTGCTTTTAGCTTCAGGGGTTCTCGCCACGCACAGGAATCTCGGTAACGATACATCAAAGAAAGAAATTTTTTGTTTTTGATTTGAAGATAACGCTTGGAGCTAGGACTTGACAGAGACCGATTTTTAAATTATGCTTCTGTTTTTTATAGAAATGCGGATTTCTAAGAAATCTTCCAAGGATTTTTCGAACTTTAAGATTCTATTAAGTACTAGAAATCAGTAAATGAGAAATTCGAAAATCGGGTTCTGTCAACTCCTGGTCATAGGTGTTTACTGCAGAACAAAACCAACCCGAGCTCTCTATCATTTACCTGGAATGAGAATTCTTGCTTGATAGACGCCTATTCTCGGCCCTTGTTGTGGGCCTATGAAGAGTTGCAAGTGGTGCTAAAAAAATTTTCGTTACCACACTCTGACATGATCAACATATCCTGCAAATTTGGTTCAGGTCAGACGTACCTGGACTGAGATAGGTTTCTGACCCGAGAGGGAGAGCTTAAACAAGAATCAAAGAATGAAAGAAAAAGTGTTATTAAACATTATCAACTTATCCAACAATCGATCGAACTACCTTTACATGACCACATTGCTATGTGTGGATGATAAAAACAATTGTGTTAGATAGAGAATACGAATAATTATGGCATCGTCTTGTAATGTTTTTGATGTAATACAGCACGAATCATGCCTCAAATTCTCTTTCATCATTTTCTAGGATTCTAAAGACTTAGCAGTAAGAAATTCTTCTTGTTAACCCTTTATGGCCGAAAATGTTTTTTCAGAGCACAACACAATAATTGATGTCAAAACTGTTGTGAAATACTACAACTAAATTCGAATAGTTTTTCAGGGTAAGGTAGCCATATAGACTATTCATTAAAAAGTAAAAGGTTTTTAACTAGCTTCTGAAAAAAAAAATTCACGTTAAATTAAATATCGTAATGTCCCCTAGGAGGAACATTCGGTCGTAACGGGTTAATTCGGTATTTGGATAAAAAAATTTGAGAGTTTTTTAGTCATATTTTCTGAATAATAGGCAGTTTCGCTTGTAGTAACAGTGATTTCGTTTCTAAATGTTGTGAGTACGAGAGTATCGCAGATCGCCACTCTACTTGGAGAGAAAAAAATTCACATAAACTCGGCCGATAATTGTGATTGATCATACGTGAAAAATATTTAAACAGAATTTGTATCCCTGCGTATTTGTAAGCATATATATATATATATATTAATATTAAAATAAGAAATTCAATGTTCAGAATTAAAGTACAGAAAGAGACGAAAATCAAATTTTTGAGAAAACAAAAAAAAAAAGAGAACAAGAACGAGAATAAAGATAATTTAATCAATAAACCAGGTCCTCTGTTTCTTTCTCGTTTTAAATAAAATACTAACAACAAACTAATAATAACAAAATACCAGCTAAGCAACGCAACGTACATAGATAAATAGATTTGTTTAAGATACCACTTTAAAACAGCAAAAATAAATAGAAGAAACATTACGAACAGTGATCATTCTAAAATGTGTACAGAGACTTAGTTAATTATGTCTGTGTATATGTTAAATAAAATTTGAGGACATGTGTACATGAAAATGATTGTTACGGAAGAACTGACAATAACATATATATATATATATATATATATAGGTATATGTATAAGAGAGAAAAGAATCATTCACACTTGTCTTTGAATGCCATTTCTCTTAAAACATAATTTAATAAGCCACCATTTTTATAATATATTAATTCAGCTTGTGTATCAATTCGAGCAATCATTGAAAATGATCTACCCGTGTGAAGCTATAAAAAAAAGAAGGCAATTTTTAGTTCTCTCTTTCTTTCAACTTGTAGAAACATTTTATTCTAACAAATGGATATGTGTTTAACGTACCGTTATATTAACTAACTGTTTACATTTGATATCATTCGACAACTGAATTGTATACTTTTCTTTTCCACTAAGATTTAATTTTGAACAATTATCCCCATCTTGAAATTGTAACGGTAGTATACCCATACCAATCAGATTGTTACGATGAATAGGTTCAAAACTTTCAGCTAATATTGCTCGAATACCCTAAAATAAAATACTCATGTTTATAAATCAATTCTATTTGAATATTGTCAAAACCTACCAACATCCATGGACCCTTTGCTACCCAATCTCTTGGCGGTCCACATCCATAATCTTTTCCAGCTAAGACAATTACACATTCACCATTACGACGATATTTTTCTGCAGCGTCATATAGATCAAGTTCCTCTCCCGTTGGTAAATAAACTGTTGTAATAGAAGTTGTATTTGACTTAGATCGTACAAGTTTATTGACTAAACGTGAATGATTGTATGTACCACGCGCCATCACACAATCATTACCTCGACGAGAACCAAACGAGTTATAATCACGTGGAACAACGCTACAACAGAAGAGAAATACTACCATTAAGTGAAAAACAAAAGTAAAATATACATACCCTTTCAGTGAAAGATATTTGGCTGCTGATGTATTTCGAGCTATGGATCCAGCTGGTGAAATATGATCAGTGGTAACAGAATCGCCCAGATACAATAATACATGCGCATTTTCAATCGATTGTAACGATGGAGGAGTGGATGTCTGAAACAAATTCGATTATTTTATTCTGTGACTCAGACAAACTGGCTTCAACATGCTATGTCAGATGTATATAAAATTAGCACTCACTATTGTATCAAAAAATGGTGGACATTTAATGTATGTTGAATATTCCGCCCACGGATACTGAGCCATATCCGGTGTTTTTAATGAATTCCATTGGTGATTTCCTTTCTAAAACAAAAACCAAAAGCGAGTGCGATTACAACTTATTGCTAACAAAATTATCTCATCAATAATCTACATGTATAATTTCGTCAGTTAATTGAAACATATGTTTCAGTATATATTCTTCTTCAATAGTTTCAATTTCTTCTCGAGTTGGCCAAATCTCTTTAATGTAAACTGGATCAATTTCCTTTGTATAACCTTGAATAAAATAATGAAACAAATCGAATGATAATCATTTTATTCATAGAATTCTATACCTATTGGTTCATTATCAAAATCAATAATAACTGTTCCAGCTAGTGCATAAGCTAAGACAACTGGTGGCGATGTTAGATAATTTGCTTTTATTACACTATTTGTTCGAGGTGAATTATTTCGATTATTACCACTAAACATTCCGGCAACAATCAAATTATTCTAAATAACAATATACCAAAAATAATTTATATTAATATCAACGTTATGAAATACAATATTAATTCTCACATATTGTACAGCTTCTTTTACATTCAGTTTAATCCCATCTGCATTATCGTTACCAATACACTCTGTACAACCATAACCGACGATTTTAAAGCTAGAATAAACGAACAATTTAGTTTTAGTAGAATATTATTTAAAATGCATACCCTAATTGTTCAAGATATTTCATTGCACCACTTTCACGAAGATAAGTTGTTACTAAACCACTTCCCGGTGACAATGTTGTATGTGTATAAGGTTGAATTATTAAACCAGATTCAATAGCTTTCTTTGCTAATAATCCTGGAAAATAATAAAAATAAAATGAAAATGTTAAGCATGTAATTTAATTGTAAAATTCAAGATGAGTCAGTCTATTTTTACCTGCAGTTAACATAGCTGATGGATGACTTGCGTTTGTACAACTTGTTAGAGCAGCAAGAACAATTGATCCATGTTTTAAAGTTATCGATTGATCAATTGTTACTGAACAATTCAAATGACTAGAGGGAAGATTGAATCCCTACGAAAAAAAATGAAGAAAACAAAACAAACAATAGATGAGCGTATAAAATATTTTTAGGGCATACTTTGAAACCAGGTGGATTCACTAAACATTCTAAATAATCCGATTTCATTGCATTTAAAGTGACTTTATCTTGTGGTCGTTTTGGTCCACTGCAATTTGGAAGTACAGAAGATAAATCAAGTTCGTAAACCTAAAAAACAAACAATAAATTATATTATGAATATAATGAATTTTTTTACAAAAACATCAATGAAAAATTTACTTGTGTATAAACAATTTCTGATTGATCATTTGCGACTGAAAATAATTTAGCTTGGATAAGATAAGTTTTTATTTTCTCAAATAACTTTTCATCACGACCTTTGACAAAAGAAAAATATATAAATGATTATCACAGATAAAACTGAAGTGAATTAAATACCTGTTCTCACAAAATGTTTAATACTTAGTTCATCGTGTGGAAAATAGCAGAGTAATGCACCTATATCCGCACAAAGATTTGCTATAGATGAACGATCCGATACGGATAAATATGATATACTTGGACCAAAAAATTCCACATATTTTCCACATATACCAACTTGACGAATGTGCTGGAATAATCGAAGACATGTGTAAGAAGTGTGAGATGTTTCATGGAAGTAAGATAGTAAATATAAAAATTCTTAATTCTATTAAAACAAGTGTGTCATACGTACGGACAAGTCAAGAAGACAACATTTCAAGTATGAATACAGTTAGAGGATAAAATGACTTAAAACTCTCAATGTTATTACTTTAATAATAGCTGATATAAGATCAATGGATGTGGACATAAAATGTGGTTGTCCGATCAATTTGTAGCCAACCACAGAAGATAAGACAATTTTTATTGGTTGACCAAACATGGCTGATTCGGCTTCAATACTACCCACACCTACAAAGAACAAAAATTATTAATATTTGTTCCAAGCGCATAAATAGTTAATTTTTACTCTTTGGAAAACTACATCGTTCGAGACAGGTTTATCAATACTCACCATAACTAAGAACACCAAATCCATTTGATATCGTGGTATGTGAATCTGTGCCAATTAATGTGTCTGGATAAATAAATTTATTACAGTCATCAAACACAGCTATTTTCGCTATGTATTCCAAATTTATTTCATGACACATTCCAATGCCAGGTGGAACAACAGACAAATTTTTAAAAGCTTTTGCACTCCACTAGAAGAATAAAAGTATATCCTGATTATTATTCTCCTAACGTTATTAATTACAAATATAGTTTACCTTCAAAATTTGTAATCGTTCAATATTTCTCTCAAACTCAAGTTGTTGACTTCTCTCTAAAGCGTTGGCACTAGAATAAGAAAAATATAACATCACTGCTAAACAAATTCAAGTTATCATTACCAAATAGTTCGTTGCAGATGAAAAGGACAGATTTCATAACCACATTCTAAATGTATACGTGAATTTGTATCATTCTCCACAGGTATTAGTGTTGAAGGATATTCAGTATTTTGATTTGGTGAAGTTTTTCGAACAATTCTAGATCAATACAAGCTCATAATGTTTTTGAAAAGCACTACGTTAATTTTCCTACATACTTTCTCGCTACATCTGCTTCTAGATTATAATCAATTAAGAGAGTTGTCGGACAGACTGGATGAATTTTCATTGCATCTCCTCCAAGTTTAACAACAGCCTCACGCATAGCAGCCAAATCAATGATAGCGGGTAAACCACTAAAAGTAAAATAAAAATGGTTATAAATAGAGAAAGAGTAATACATAAAAAGTAGCACTAACGAGAAGTCTTGCATAATAATTCTACTAGGTCTAAATGGTATTTCCACTGATTTTCCTCCATCTTCGCCGTTTGTCCAGTTTAATATTTGTTCAACATGTTCTTTTAAAATTAAAACATCATCACAATTACGGACAGTTGATTCCAACAATAAACGAATACAGTAAGGCAATTGACCTAGAAAATGGTATAAAATAAAGCTGAATTCAAGTAAACATTTTCGATATACTGACTGAAAACTTGTGAATTCAACTGCGATACATCGTAATGGTGATAGATTTCATCATCGATAATAATTGGTTGTATTAGTTTTTCATACTGACTTTTACCAAAACACATTTTCACGCCCTTTAAAATACGAAGAAAAACAGAATATCTAAACTACATGCAAAGAAAATTCTTTATTATTTTTACGCTCAGCATCTAGACTTTGGTAGACTTCAACTGGAGCGGTAGTTCTATACAAATACTTGAAACAAAGTACTTGAAAAAGTAGTAGATACATGTAATGAAGTCAATTTCTAGTGTTTTTTCTCGAGTAATTTTACTTATAAGTTACAGGTCAGATACCTGTATTAAGTTTCATAACTGATTCAAGTAATTATAAGTAAATTCTGAAGTGTTTCTGGAATTTTTTAAGTAAATATTTCACAATACCCTAACTATGTAATTGTTTTAACGACTGGATTTTTTGACATTTTTTACATCTCTACAGAGAATCACACATCGAATATTTCTCTCATTTCATCAGATTTCAGCAATAACAAATCTATGAAGTGAAAACCCGCTCCTATTCATCTTTTTATAGAGTCAAAAACTTGCTTTGTTACGAGTGAAAAAGGCAAATTTCAATCTACCTGCTCAGAATAACGAGTAAGATAAGTCGAAGGATCGCCCAATTGCCAGCATTAGCACTGTGCAGTAAATTGTATCTGGCGATTATAAAGCAAAATAATCTTTATTTTTTTCTTTCACGTTTGTTAACTATCTTCGATGTTATTGCTAAAAATAGTTTTCAAGACAAAGCAGGTCAAAATCGTTCTCCATTTAACCCCTCCATTAATTTAAACGGAAGATTAACCTTACAATCAAATCGGCGAAAGTATCCAATCGGCAAGCTACGCTTTTTATCGAATCGGTGTTACTTTTACTGCATATATCTGACATCTATTATAGTAGTTTTGATATGTATATATATCTATAGGGATAAATTTTAAACTTTATCTGAGTTAATTAATTAAAGCGAGTTAGAGCGAACTACGTTCCTCTTTGTAAATAGAAATTTGCTTTGACATTTTAAAAAATTTGTAAAACTTACTTGTGAAGGCACAAGTTTACTAAAATGACTATGGATATTTTTGCACGAAACGACGACAAAAAAGTAGCCGAAGACTATGTTGACCCATCATAAACAACAAATTATATCAGTTCAAAAGTTCATATGGTCTTGTGATCAAGATAAGATACAATGAAAATAAGGTGCTAGATTCTATGTAAGAGACGTTAATATTAGCTATTAATTGCCACTATCATTAACTTGATCTGATCTTATTTTGAGTCGATCAATCTCTCTGTTCTATAGTTACTATGAACTAGTTATTTTATTTTCAATTTCAAATAAGAAAAACGTATTGTCGAAAACAACCAGAAATAAACGCAAGTCTCTAAATAGATATTAAAGGGTTAGTGTTAATGGAAAGCCAAATGCTAAATCATTTCTAACGGTGGATGATACGATAGTCATTTTATAGCTCAGGCAAGAGCATTTGGTATGACAGCTAGCACTCTTTCGGCTAACGACATCTGGTGAGAGCGTCGATTGTTGTCTGTGTTATCCAGCCAATTATTAAATAGCGAATCTTACCACAATACAGAAGAAGAAAAAAAGTAGTATTTGTTTGAATTGCTTTTTTTTCCTTCCGAAAAACAAATACGCGTTCGATATGGGTTCTTCGGTAAGACTAAGATACGAAATCAAAATTTTAGTTACTGATTTCATTCCAATCCTTAAAGCGTTTGACTCTGTCTCTCATTCTCTTTTGTTGGAAAAATTGTCGCGTTGTGGTCTGAGTGATTCTTTATTTTCTCTTTTGTCTTCTTACCTCTCTAACCGTTCCCAGTGTGTTCGTGTGCATAACTCTATCTCTTCTTCCTCTCCTGTTCCTTCTGGCGTTCCTCAAGGCAGTGTACTTGGACCGCTTTTATTTCTTATTTTTATTAATGACTTGGTTCTTTCTCTTCCAAATAATTGTGATATCTGTCTTTTTGCGGATGATGTTTTTTTAATTGTACCTCTTTCTTTTTCTAATCCTCTTGATTTCTCTCATGTTCAGAACTGTATAAATTGTGTTTC